GACACTGATAGTCATCTTGTTGAGGGGCACATAGTTGACACAGAGACGTTTCTTTGTACCTCTGGTGACAACCACAACTGGGAAGGCCCATGGGCCCGTTGCTGGGAGGATGATGCCCTGGCGAAGGAGCGATTTTGTCTGTTCTTCGAGGAAACGACGGTCTTCAGCAGCATAGCGGTACGGAGACCGGCTATAGGGAGCTGCATCTGGAAGCAGATCTATCGCATGTTCCACGCCCTCGTACAAGCCAACATCGTCTTCCCCGTGGGCGAACACATCTGCATGTTTGGACAACAAGGTTGAGAGCTTAGTCTTCTGTGGGTCTAACAGATGGCTCCCTACTTGCGCTGCAGGCAGGGCTGGGTCAATGCAGACGTCCACTGTTGGGGGCACTGTGTGCTTAGGCTGTGGCTCGGCTGTCAACGCGGCCCACAAAGGCTGGTCTGGGCCTGGTAAAGGAAGCTGCTGTAGCCCCGCTGGGCTGTGGTGTCCATGGACACAGTGACGGAAAGCTGAAGCTTGCAGCATTACAGCATTTGCCATCCGAGGAAGCAACCGTTCATGGCACTGAATGCTGGTTCCAGTTGGGGCATGGTAAATTTCAGTGGGGCTGGGTGGCTGGAAGATTAACTGTGCTTGGCTGGAGAAAAACCAGTCTTCACCCAAGATCACTGGGAGGGCGTTGTGGTCAAGGGCTGCGGCTTCGACAACTCCAGTGACTGGGCCAACGGAAATTTTCAGACAGATGGCACCAGCTGGGATAACTGACGTTCCTCCAACGACAACAAGGGGTGCTCGAGTCCAAGGTAGAAGGGGCACCGAGCTGACGAGCTCACGGGACATTAGTGTCACCTTGGATCCACTATCAGGGAACGCATCAACTTGGCCAATACCTGCGATGGTGGCAGTCACAAGAGCACATTGCACTTGCGAACCATCAAGCGTCTCAGCTGGGCGGCTATGAAGTGCTGGTGCTTTGGGCAAAGTGGTTTTCGCAGCAGATGACTTGGATGGGCATTTGGACGCGAGATGTCCCTTTTGGCGACAGTGGAAACACACGGCTTCTTCTAAATTCTGCCCAGGACGAAAGGCTGCGACACCATACTTCTGTGATATGGCATCGTATCGAGCATTCTGCTCTTCTGCAGAGAGGGATCTGGAGCGCTGCTGTCTTGATGTATAGTTGGGACGGGGTTGCAGCGGTGCACTCTTCTCGGAGGTTGACGGTGTTGAAGGTGCGCGGGGGCTTTGGTCTGTCTGGAATCCAGATATCTTGTCTGGTCGAGCTCGCTTGATGTGCAATGCAGCGTTGTCCAGGTCGGTAGCGATTGCAATAAACTCGTCGACCGTTGCGGGTCTCTGGGCGGCGATGGCGGAGACGAGGTGATCGTCACGAAGTCCTTGTAGAAGGTATTCAATTCGTTGCTTGTCTGTCAGTTGGACGGGACTTCGAGCGATGATTTGCAGTTTGGCGAATGTACACGCATGCAGAGTCTGGTTCTTTAACTGTAGACACTCGCTCAGCTTCACTTGCCATTCGATGAGCGTTAGGTCGTCGTTGAACTGTCTCAGAAATGCTGCACGCCATGACGGCCACGTAGGGAAAGCGTCGCCGCATGCGAGGTGCCAGTTTTTGGGGGTTCCGCGCAGTTTACCTTGGGCGATAGCGCGCAGGGCGTCGTCGTTCCAGGATGCGAGCTTTTGGGCTCGCTCCAATTCCTCAATCCAGCGACGTGAGGACAGCTGTTTTGAGTCGTCAAACACTGGGAGGGTTTGCGACAAGTCGGGTAGCGTTGTCAATTGGGTCGGTCTCAGGGCGAAGGACTCTTGCATTCGAGCCAAAATCCTAGTGTTCTGCTCAAGGCAGGTTGCCAAGGCTGCAACAAGATCGCTGGGGATTTGTGACGGAGGAGATGTAGCTTGCTGCGCAACTTGTAAAGTGCCAATGTCGTCGGCAGATAGAACAACTTCGGGTTCCTTCGGACTTTCGCGGACGCGGATGTCCAGGATGATTCAATCAATTAACTCGGACTTGGTTCCAGAGGCGTCCAAGCCTCGGCGTTCGGCCTCGGAGCGTAAAAACGTACTTGTAAACGTCTCCAAGTCCTCTGGCGTCGCTTGCTCCCATGAGATGAGCGGCATGGCGGTTTCGATGCGGTAATGGCGGAGGCAGGCTTGAGGTTCCAGGCGGGCAGGTAGCGACGTCGACTGCGCCAATTGTGAGGACTACGGCCGGGCTTTGGCCAGGCGAGGCGTTGAGGCGAGGGCGGGGCCAAACAATCGAATAAAGGTTTATTAACTGGCAATAATTAAGAAAAGGTACGAGGCGCTGACGCGCCACATGGCTTGGTCGCGCCAAAACAGAGAGCAGGCCGGAACACTTGTTCGGCCAGGCTTGACGGTAAGGGTTAAAAGAGCGGGCCGTGGTAGGTGGCGCTAGTAGCTCGCTCACAATATGGAGTGATTATTCATCCGAAACTAGTGTCTCCGCTTTAAAAGCTAGCCATAAATGTTCCTAATCTACAAAGAAGACGAAAAATAGCCCGATTGTGTTTTTTTTTCTTTTTTTTTCTTTAAGATGTATATTACTCAGATTCCAATTTTCAAGCTACTTAGTGCTGAGCTGTCAATTTCATATTATCCATATATTAGATGATTCCTGCAAGATTGAACCATTTCCTAGTACTTTGTAACACTGACTAGCACCAACTACCTGACCATATTGTAACTGAGAGATATCCCATTTCACTGAAAAAGAAGGGCATCAATTTGTGTAACTGAACCTTGACTTGTAAAACTGCCTCATAACAATAACCTGCTAAGAAGCGTTTTTTTTGTGTGTGTGACATTTTTTGTTGGTGTTTATTTTTTATGTTCAATTACTTTTTTGTCTATTTTTGAATCCCCCTGGATGTAATGCGTCTGTGGATGCCTTTGAGCTGAATAAAATAAAATAAAATGAATGCCTCTGCAACATTTATCTAATTGTTACTTTAGGTCATTTTATCTGGTTCTACTACTTCGATTATTGTCATTTCATAGGGATTCTTTTTTTTTATACAACTCCCATGTCGTTCAGAGATAATTACACCACCCAGTTTATTGCTTAAAAAATAACATCTGTCTCAAGATATCACTTTCTTGTATTTCACTACAATAATTGTAGGTTATAATAATTTTCCTGCGTTCTAAAATTGGTTCTTTATATCACTCGGCGTTTACAGCTCTTATGTTAGCTCATAAAAAAATAAATTGTGCGAAAACCCGCGTTTCTACGACGTCAAAGCTACGCGCGAAGCCTTCAGCTCAGCTCTATAGCGCGGCGCTCGTCAGCCTGCTGCCGTGACGTCACCGGAGGCGTGTGCTGGCCTTCTCCTCTAGGTGGTGTTGCCTTGAGGGAGCGAAGCGAAGAGAGGAGGAAACTAGGTATCTTGACGGTCACGCGCCTCGTTGGCCTGGTTCAATCTCGACTTCTTTTTCCAAAAATACGGCCGTCCATTTAAGATATCGCCTTGCTAGTAGTGTTGTAGGGATTGTAGCGTCCCGCCAACATTTCCAGCATTGTTTTTTTTGTTTTGTTTTTTTGAAATCCAAATTCTGGTTCACCATCTCTTTAATCTAGCGGAAACAATTCTCCGCTAAATCTAGCGGAAAAATTTCCCCGCTAAATCTAGAGGAAAAATTTCCCCGCTATATCTAGCGGAAAAATCTCCCCGCTAAATCCTGCGGAGAAGTTTCCCCGCTAAATTTAGCGGAAAAATTGCCCCGCTAAATCCAGCGGAAAAATGTATCCGCTAAATCTAGCGGAAAAATTTAGCGGAAAAATTTCCCCACTAGACCTTGCGGAAAATTTTTCCCACAAAATCTAGTGGAAAAATTCCCCGCTAAATCTAGCGGAAAAATTTCCCCGCTAAATCTAGCGGAAAAATTTCCCCGCTAAATCTAGCGGAAAAATTTCCCCGCTAAATCCTGCGGAAAAGTTTCCCCGCTAAATTTAGCGGAAAAATTTCCCCGCTAAATCTAGCGGAAAACTTTCTCCCCTAAATCTAGCGGGAAAATTTCTCCGGTAAATCTAGCGCAAACATTTCCTCGCTAAATCTAGCGGAAAAATTTCCCCGCCTAAATCCTGCGGAAATGTTTCCCCGCTAAATCTAGCGGAAAAAATTCCCCGCTAAATCTAGCGGAAAAACTTCTCTGGGGGTCACGTGACCTCGGGGAAGAGGGTCACATGACCTCCACGTGACTGGGAGGTCATGTGACCACCTCTTTGCCGAGGTCACGTGACACCGCTAGGTCACGTGACACCCCCCAGGCCACGTGACCTCCTCCCCGAGGTCACGTGGGGGAGGCTCACGCGACTTTGGGGGGTCACGTGACCCCCACGTGAACAGCCCCTCCTCCGAGGTCACGTGACCCCACCAAGGTCACTTGACCTCCGGGGTCACGTGACCCCTCCCCCAGGCCAGGTCACGTAACCCCCCCGACGTCACGTGACCCCCCCCCCCCCCGAGAACACATGACCCTCAGTACCCCCTCCTCCTCCTCCCCATCCTCCTCCTCAAGAGCTGCGCTCTAATTCGGTGTTACAGGGAGTTGTAAACGGCTTTCACTTTTTATAATTTTTTTTAGGTGCCGGAGTCACACGCTGAACTTGCTGGAGAGGAGGGGCTCGCCTCCTCTTCAGCATACACTCTAAGTGGAAGGTGTGGGGGACTCTGGGGGAGAACGTTGTTCAAACTGGTATACCACATTCTCGGAAGACACGGGCCTCATTAAATTTGTGAACAAGCCACCAAAGCTAAATCTGCGAGCTCAACATTATATACCTTAAACATGTCAGACGCTGGGAAAACGCGGCCCCCACAGAGAAAATTTCATCTGTGACGAGCTTCCATCGAGACTAGATGAACACTCCGAATGGATGGATGGATGGATAGATGTATAATGGCTATACCCTTTGTAACGGGCGGCAGCTTGCGCCACCTAGCCTCACTTCATACCTTTCACAGTTGTATGTTGCCCACACGTCGTTGGGGCCGCCGTTGTTGTCGACACCTTCGTTGAATGGGTATGCGTTGTATGCGTCTTCGCTGTAGATGTCTTCCTCCTGGTAGTCGTTGGGAGAGTCGTGGGTCGCGGCGTCGTCGTCGTGGTCGTCGTCGCAGCCGTGGTGGGAGTAGTTCTCTTGGTTGTGGTGGCACCGGTCGTCGTCGCCTTTGTCGTTGCAGTGGTGGCGCTGGAGCCCGCGACATTCCTTCCGCACCCGGCTTGGGGCGCCGCCTTGAGCAGCAGCAACTTATCCACGGGCGTCGCGTGAGTGGGGTGAGTCGTCTTGTAAGTTCTCGAAGGGGAGGTGTTCGTACGGGAGTGAGGAAGCGGAACTGCGCTAGTTCCGAAGAAGTTGGTGTTGTTCTGGTTGGAAGACGCGTTCACATGGACGTGCGAAACCGCGGTGGTTTTGGAGGAGGAGGCGTTCAAGCGGATGTAGACGAAGTCTCCGAGCGTGGTCGACGTGTTGTGGACGCCGTGGGACGCTTCCGCCACCAGCTGCTTCGGACCTGCAATGGCGACGCAGGCGTGTTGGTGATATGCACTGACTTCACTCTCTGACTTCACGCCACTGCTGCAGCGCGTTGGTGTATAGCACGTCGTCTGGAAACGACTGCTCACCCGCGTAAGCTGACATTGCTGGGAAGCTATACGCGCTAAACCAATCACACGCCGGTATTTTGCCAGGTCATCGCGCTCTCGCCCCGCGCGTAGAGAGCACGGTCAGGTGATGAAAGGGAAGAGGTTGATTGGTCAGGCGAGCCCACCACACTGTCAGCTTATGGGGGGAACAAGGTACAGGTCCCTTTCACTGACGTAATTTCGTCCACCATTTTGCTGTTTGGAGCTGCCTGCGTGGCATGTTCCAAAGGCGAGCATTTCTAGGATTTACATGACCCCTCAATGGCGTAGATTTTTTCTTTCTTTCTTCAACGAGGAAATAGGAATGACACTAAGTTCTCTAGACGAGCTGGTGTTTTTGAGCTCGTTGTAGAAAACTGTGCTAGAGCAACAAAATGTAAGCGTTGCCTCCCACCCTCATCAAAGCTCTCTACGCTGGCGGTCTCTTTCATATCATTTCATTTCATTTATTGTTCCCTTAAAGCGCCCGTAGGGCTTTAGATAAGGGGGGGGGGGGGGGCTTTGACAACAAACAAAAACAAAGAAAGGAAAAACACAAGGTTAAAGGTTGCTAAATATCGAGAAAAGTAGCAAGTGCAGCTCTGAATCCAGATGAGTCTTGAATTGTAACAATATGTTCTGGCAGAGAGTTCCATTATGAAAGTGATAACTGCAGTGCGGAGAATTTAAAAAAACGATTTGTCCTTGGTGTTACCAAATGAACTTTCTGAGAATGGTCTGTACGATGAGAAATGTGTATAGCACGTCGTCTGGAAACGTCTCTTCTAAGGTCACTTCTAATTGAAACCAGACGGAAGGACGGCCTTTTATTGTACTGGGGCCCCCTCGACGCGTTGTACGGACAATGGTGAGTTGGAAGGCAAGCAAGTGTTGCCGAAGGCTACAGGAGCAACATACATGCTACACATTATTTTTTGTATATTTTTGGTCTTTTAGCGTAGTTCCATATGGAACTTTTCCTCTGAAACGACAAGCTTAAAACAAACAAAAAGAACTATCGGCGGACCTTCTGAAGCATTCCTTTCTAACCACTAATAGGCGTTTCAAGGAGCCGGCTCTTGAGATGTCCCTCAAAAGTTTTTGAGAGGCAGTGATTGCAAGCAACTGCTCTGAAGCCCGTGTCTGATCTGCCAGTGCGAGGCACCTTTCTCCCATCGAGTGATATGATCGCTGCAATTTTTTTTACGAGCCTCTGAGGTAAGACTTATTATTATCAGCTTAGAGCAGGACGTTGCCAAGTTGCGGCTCCTTGCGTGTTAAAGTGCGGCTCGTGGTTTCCTAGTATACCTAACCAGTGCTAACACCCCCTCCTTTCCCGCCTCCCCCCGGTCACATGAGCACTTCCCCCAAGAAGAAAAAACGAACGCGTTTTAAATTGAGACAGGTCGCGGTTTGGTCTCGCGCTACCGCTACCATACGTACGCACAGTTGGACTGCTTTTGACACGGATAGATCCTAAAGTAGTTCGAGTTTCATTTATTGGTCTAAAAAAATGTTTTAACCCCCCACCCCCGTTTCTTTTTTTCTGACATTTTTCTCTCAGGCGGCCCTTGGAAGTTTAGTGGTTTTGTTTGCAGCTCTTAGGCCGGGTCAGCCTGGCCACCCCTGGCTTAGAATAATACGTCTAAATGGCTGCAAAGTTTTAAATTACTGAACTTAGAAGAAACAATGCCATTTTCAAGGCTAATTGAAACATTTTACCCTTAAAACAGACAGCATGTAGGCGAGGCGTTTGAAAATACCTCCTTGATCTTCATGAGAGATGCCCGTAAATGTGCCCGAAATGACAGTGATTGCTATATTACAATTGCATTCAGTCTTAATTATTCATTTTATTATTTGTATGCAGAAGTCTGTTAGCTTGGGACACGAGAGTTCAGTTATTAGAAGGTGGACGTGGCGGTTTGAGCCCTAAATACTTTAAGCACCAAGATTACTTTGTTGTATGTTTTGCTTTATTGTTCAAGTCAGTAATTAAAGGGGTCATGAAACGATATCGGGTTGGAATGTTGACGACTTTGAAGAGGCGCACTGGTCCTAGTCTGGCCGAGTATACTCGCACAAACCGCCACTGATTCAAAAGCTTCTTTGTTGCGGTGAAATTGCGAGGTTAAAAGAAGACTATTTCTTTCAGCCTTGTCTTCGCAAGGCTTGATGGCTTAATTGGGGGATCAAAACCACATGCCTAACGACAGTCGAGCGCCGGCTCATGCACTCTCAAGAAAAAAGGGTGTAAAAGGGTGTATCGTTACACCCTTTGTCCCATATAATACACCCCAAAACTTCAAATCGACGTACAGCGCCCAATCGTCGAACAGACGGCCCCAAAGTTTACGAGGGTCTTGAAAACGATGCGATATAACATTTTAAATAGCTAACGTACGTATCAAAGACCACATAAAGAAAACACCGAGTTTTTACAGTAGGGCCAAAAAAAAACCGATAATGCTTTTTTTTGTAGTCAGTAAAACGAACATTAGCTATTTTAATAAGTTGTACCACGCTGCTATCAAGCCCCTCGCAAAATTTGGGGCCGTCTGTTCGGCTATAGAGCGCTGTACGTCGAATTGAAGGTTTGGGGTGTATATATGGGACAAAGGGTGTAACAATACACCCTTTTTACACCCTTTTGTATTGAGATTGTGGATTGGACACGAGAACATGCGTGAGCACTCCGACTTGGGCTCGTAACAATCAATGCCTCGGCGGACACTCGGGTAGTGGCTCGTGTCCAACCACTGCGGTGTTGAGAATAGCCAAACTCTAACAATTTCTGGAGCTCAGCAAACGCTTTCTACTCTTCCAACCCCAGCGCACAGGATAGGCATCAGGCTTTTGGCGGCATAGGATAGGCATCATGCCACGTGGCCGCTGGTTCTGGCTCCGAGTTGAGGGGATGAACGATGCTCATAGTTCTCGAATTATTTTTGCGACTGTTATCGCTAGAAAGAAAAACTAAGGCAAGTTCATTCCGTTATTAACTTCAGGGAGTCATTCTAAGTGGTATTTAGCAAAAGTAGAAAAATCGCTTCATGGCTCCTTTGATTAAAAAAAAAATCTAGTTAGACAAGTTCCAATCAATCGTAGCAATTACTAGAATAAAGACCTGAGGCCAGATTCACGAAGAGCTTCTTAGTTTACGACAACTTAGCTAAGAAGTTCGTAAGTTAAGAACATCGTAAGAAGAGGAGAAATCGGTATTCACGAACGCGTTCTTAAGTGAGAGGAGGAAAGCGACGTTGTCGTACGGAGAAACTAAAACTTACCGGTGCTGTTGCTATGGTGACGGCGTCTTCGGCAGTTCGAACAACCAATCGGAGAGCTCGGCATTTGTTCGGAGCCGTTCGGAGCACGTGGATTTTTCATAACACAGGCGGCCTTTTTGCCACCGCTTGTCTGGGGTTCGTATCCGTGCAGTGATATGTCGACGCTAACACGATTTAAACTCGCCCGAATGCCGAGGCCGGGATGCGTAACCACCCCCATTGACTGCTACGAACTCGATCGCTACCAAGTCAACACAACTGTCATCGTTGGTAAAAGACGGCCCGCAGTCGTTTGCAAAGCGACGTAGATGGGAACAAATTGCCGCGGCGTTTTTTGCGGCCTCGGAGATGCAGGAGCGAGTCGACGTTAAAAAAGATACGTTTGATCTACGACAGTGTAAGCAAGAGCCACGTAAATGCCTGTTTACACTACGGAGCGGACGCGCGCGTTTGATCGAAGTGCTGGATTTGCGCTGTTGGACCGCGAATTGATAAGTGCTTCGGGACCGATCCTTTACAATTGCAACTCGATGCATGACGTGACACCCGGCGAAGAAAGGTTGGACAGGCATTGCGACCCACGAACTGTTACAGCGATCGGCAGTGAGGTGCAGTCGTGTCAGAATAAAATGGAATACTAATAACAAAGTGTACATACCATGTTGCGAAGGTAATCCATAGGGCGTTTATTTGAGCTTGATATCACACAAAACAGAGATAGAATCGATGAGAGCCCCTTTTCGACGACAGCGTTCGTCACCGTTGCCTCGGAAAACAATGAGATGACAAGAGGAAGAGATTGACCTCTTAATCTAGAATTGAGGTCAGCGATCAAACTATAATACGGGAAGGGTTCACAAGGGCCGCGCGGGCATATTCCATTCAGCACGCCAGCCGGTCGTGGGCAGACGGTCTTCGCCAAGGACCGTCAGATCATCGCTGCGCCGAGTCGGAGTGCCTGCTAGGCCTGCTAGGCCTATCTGCCGATCGGTCGGAGTCCGTACTCATGGCCCTTGGAGTTTTTCCCGGGTGTCTGTGGATCCAGCGTTCTTGTTCGTTCGTCGTGGTCTGTTTCAAGTACTTTTTACTTGTTTCTTGCTGCTTGAAGTCGGGACGCGTGAGAAGCGCACGTAGAAAAATAAACATCCGTTGGTTGTCGCGACCAACTGAGCGACGCTGTCGGCCATGCTGATTTGATCGTAAGAAGTGCGTAAGACAGCTTCGGAGCTGTCGTAGGATTTCGTCGTAACCTGCGCAAAACTTACGAAAATTTCGTTTCGTGAATACGGATTTGTTCTTAAGTTTTGTCTTACGCACATTTTTGGCGTAAGATCGTTTCGTGAATCTGGCCTATGATATTCTTGGGACTGTTTTTGAGCTGCGACTCGCGAAGCAGCTCGCGAGTAACAACTTTTTAGGGGCAGCGAAATGTTTTTAGAGCGCAGCTCTTAGGCGCCCGTTTCCGGCTTGAGCGGCGTCGGTGTCGCCGCCGCCGTCGCCGTCGGCGAAACCGCGCGGTGCATTACGAAGGAACCCAAGGTCCTCCCGAGGTCCTCCCGAAGGAACCCGAGGTCCTTCGGGAGGACCTCGGGTTCCTTCAAGAGGACCTCGGAAGGACCTCGGGTTCCTTCGGGAGGGCCTCGGGAGGACCTCGGGTTCCTTCGGGAGGACCTAGGGGGGGGGGGGGGTCACGTGACGTTGACGTCATCAGTGACGATGACG